GTTTAAACACATTATTTAATTAATTTATAAAGAGCGTAAATATACAACAGTGAAAGATAATAACTANTTTTTTTCCTCGCCCGTTCTCGAGATATTTGAAAACTATTAAATCGATTTGTTTTGGTTTTTGTGGTTTAAAATTTTTAAAAATATATTAATCAAGCTCAAAATTTATATTAATTTATAATTTATGTTTATCCATTAACCCTAAAAATTTGAGACAAATCAAACACATGAAGTGTGAACCCGTCCATTTCGGTATGGAACGCCCCATATACTATACGCTTTTGTTTTTAATAAAATTTAGGCTGATTTCTTAGAAATATTTAAAATTGTGTCTGGTGGGACAGGTCCTTGTGAGTGGTGTTAAATAATTATGTATGAAGTAAAATTTTCCATATACAAAAATTACAGCTTTTTTATTATTTTTTTTATTTCTCAACAGATGATTAAAATGTAGTCATTTAGCAGAAGATTGCTACTGAAATAGGGATATTTAAGGCATTCTTAAATTTATGCTGTTTTCCTCTTTTACATGGAATGACTCACATGTTTTGTTTTTCCTAAAATTGAAGCTTCAAACATCAAAGATCTAATTCTAATCGTTTCGCGGGAAATGAGATGATGCTCAACGTTGGTTGAAATGTTGTTTGTAAAGTTGTCTCAATTTGGACCGAACTTTGTTTGTGTTCTGTAGATTTAAAACAATTAACACTATTCCGGTCGTTTTCGCACCACCCATCCTCGCAGGAACCTGGCCAGCGGCGGCACCCTCGAGGCACCAAAGAAAAGGATGTGTGGGAGTTCCCTAGACAATCTGTGAATTTCTCTTGGAAAAATGGGCCTCCGGTCAACTCAGTGAACGCTGAGGTAAAACCAAGAAAGTGCCACTGCGAGGTCATTCTGGCCGGGGATGGTCTTCAGATATGCTTAGGCTCACGGAGCTGGATCTCTTGATTCTGGTGGGCGTACTGGCAGGCCACTGTCCTATCGGGGTTTACGCAACTGTTTCGCAGCAGACTCCCTTTTCTCGAAATTGTATGGAGTACGAAGAGGTGGAATAAGCTGAAGCCTAACTAGTGCGGATTAGCTTTCCCGGACTAACATCTTCCGCCTGTGAAACTTCCTTCTCGACAGGCAGCGATTCTGGCTTTAACCTAGCAGTTACTCATTCAGTGCTTTTTTTACCTAGCTGATCCTGTAATTTGGCCTGTACCATCACCGATCACCATATACCAGCTAGTCGAGAAGTGTAAGACAGAATTACGCTCAGTGTCTGCATCAGTAAGCGTCTCTCTTGTCTGGTTTCCCGGCCATAGGAGTAAGTAGGAGAAAACAACTCCTCCCTGGGTCCCTGATTATTCTGTTTCACCAGTAGTCTTACCTTAGTTTTGAGCATGTACATTTCCTTTTCATAAAAGCCTCAAAAAGCCACAAGATTGTCAGCCGCTTTTTTAGCGGCAGTGCTCTGTTATTTCTAGTCACCGTGCTCCTTAAAAACTATCTTGAAAACATGTTTGCTAGAAGAAATGGTATGCTAAAAAAACATGCGAAGCAGCAAAAAAAAGTGTAGAATTTTTATTGTTTCATATGTAATTTGTAGCAGATCATCGCTTCCAGAAAATACTTAGCCTTCAAACGTTTACGCTCTTTTAGCGCTTTACATTAACCCAAAAAGTTTCAACACAACTAATATTTATTTTTCACTTCTTCTATTCACAGGAGTACAAATGGTCAGAGCAAACAAAATCCAAGGTACTCAGCAGCTTCTTCTGCGGCTATATATGCACACAAATTCCCGCCGGTGGTTGGGCGCGTCGCTTCGGCGGTAAAGTGATGTTAATGTTCACTGTAACCAGCAGCAGTATATTGGCCATACTGACACCGCTTGCAGCCAGCATTGGAAACTGGCAGTTACTGTGTGCGCTACGCTTTCTACAAGGTTTTGGACAGGGCTCCACAATACCAGCCATGGCCACAATTTTGGCTAAATGGGCGCCAGTTGAGGAGCGCAGCTCTTTGGCAACGTATTTATTTTCGGGCGCACAATTTGGCACTGTGATAATGTTGGGCTCCAGCGGAGCACTAGCCTCCTCCAGCATGGGATGGCCAAGTATTTTTTACTTACCCGGTGGCTTGGGTTTGCTGTGGGCGCTAATTTGGCTATGCTTTGGCGCCAGCTCACCCAGCGATTGCAAAGTAATATCCGATGCTGAACGCTCATACATTGAAACGTCACTGAGCAAGCAGGTGAAAAGTGAAGAACACGAAATGCCCACTAAAGTGCCATGGTGCAAGATATTCACATCGCCGCCATTTCTGGCATTGTTGGTAACTCATTGCGGCTATACGTGGGGCTTCTGGACACTGCTCACTCAAATACCATCGTACATGAAGAGTGTGCTGGGCAAAGATATCAAAAGCAATGCGTTGCTCTCCGCTCTGCCATACCTCTCAATGGTAATTTTGGGTTTCATCTGTTGTCCCTTCGTTGAGGCGTTGGAAAAATCGAAGCGCGTCAGCCGAACAGTCAGTAGGAAGGTCTTCAACACAATCGGTCAATGGATACCGGTGACCACTTTCATTTGGTTAGGCTATGTGAATGCGGATCAAAGTGATTTGGCTGTCGTTCTGTTGACCGTCACTGTGTCGATTACTGCAATCACACATTTCGGCTGGCAGGTAAATCATATTGACCTATCGCCACACTTTGCCGGCACACTGGTGGGATTGACCAATAGTGCTGCCAATGTGATGAGCATTATTGCACCACTCGTGGTTGGTTATATCGTAACGGATCCGGTGAGTTTTCTTTTTTCTTAATAGAAATGAGTTTATTAGCAGATATTTATGTATTTATCCTTTTATTTACTTCTCACAGACGAATTCAGTACAGTGGCGCATTATATTTTTCATTGCTGGCGGTTTCAATTTCTTTGCAAATCTACTTTTCATTATTTTTGGCACAGCAAAGGTGCAGCCGTGGCATGATGAAGAGCTTAAGGTACAGGAGTTGAAGCCACTCAATGAAAATTTGGTGGTGGTGACGCCAAGCGGCGAGGAAAAGGAAGAGCCAAAGGAGGGAAATGTGCTAAAAGAAACGGCATAAAGTTTAACCAATACATATACGTACTATTAATTATATCAACTAGTTATAAAAAATCAGTACCAGATTGATCGAGCATTGCTCGAAGTGCATTTAATTTTTAAAGTTTTCAATGTTTGGGTATAAATTAATGTTCATTTGGAAAGCTTTAATTTATAACTATTTTGTTTGTAATTGTTTAACATTACGATATATATACTATGAATATGCACATAAGGCTTTAGATCTAAATCAATACTTCTTTCCATACAAAGTATGTCGATAGAAAAATATTATCAATGCCTTAACATTAGAGCCTAGTAAGTACCTAATTTTCCAGTGATAGAAACCCAAGATAAAAAAATTTTGAAAAAATTATGTTCATAAACAAAAAATATTATCAATATTTGAGCCCACTAAAAACCTAAGAATTTCATAAAAAGTATAGTTTGGAAATAAATTTAAATAAATGATGCTTTTGATATCGAATATGTTATTATATTAAAAATTAGGTGTGAACTCTACATACACTAGAGTATATAGTATATACCTGGAGTGTATATGTACTGCAAAAAATGCTCATTCAAATTAACCCTCTAGTGCATGAATTATGAAAGCGATGAATAAAAAAATTTACTGTGAAAACCACGTTGTTTACGTATCAATAAACTTATAAAAAAATACTCCATATTTGTTTCAAAAGAAAAAAAAAAACGTGGCAACACTCGTCGAAAATATTTAAGGATTAAAATTCTCAAAACATTCCTTTAAATTATATCCTTATTAAGTTATTTTAGTTAAAGTGTAGAATCGGAAATAAGTGGCAACCCTGTACACTAACATCCTAGATGATGACACTTAGTACATAGGAAAATAATCGTAATATTATATCTTTAACTTCTATAAAAAACAATTTAATAAATACTTGATTCAAAACAGAGGGCAACATAATTGAAAAATATTTATGAATTGAGGGTTTTTAAAATACTTTCCAGCAGATGTCGAAAATAATCCTCTCCACTTTGAAAGTATCCCAAAATAACTGTTACTGTTTAAGAGAAAAAATAACCGACAAAACAGAACAGGCGGATTATTTTTTGTATTTTTTGATATGTGCTCCTTTCAGTGGGGAAGATTTTTTTGCATTTAATTTCCGTTGCTGTTGGTCTCGAACACTTATCGCTGGGAGAGAGAAAAGTGTTACAGCGCGGTTACCCACGAACGTGTACGTAGCGTACCGTAGAAGCGCGTAGGAACATATCATATTTGCTGTTTATAGAGAGAGATACAGAGAAGCAACGTCAACGTCACGGTCATCCGGTGGCAGGGTTGCGGGTTAAATCAAAAAGGATTTAAAATCCGCTATCACTTAGGAAATATATTTGATTTGTGATTTGGTTTGTTGACCAAATAAAAAAAAAAAATTTCTTTGTGATTTGCTTTGTCAACCAAATAAGAAATAAAATTTGTGATTTGATTTGTAGAGCGAATCAATTTTCGAGATTTTCGGAATCTTAGGGGCTATTTCGGGCTTTCTGAGCTATTTCGAGATTTTTGAGACTATTTCGGGATTTTCGAGACTACTGTGGGATTTTCGAGATTAATTCGAGAAATATCATCCACAGAGTCTGTTCTTTCCAAGAATGATAGAATACAAAGATTGCGCCGATAGGGGTGCAAAAATTTTTCGTTCTGCGCATCTACGTCATAATATAAAAGTTGTTGTTGGCGATCTGTCAAATCGCATACAATTTCGACGAAAAAAAGTAAATATAGCATAAAATTTAGTTGAAAGTCTAAAATAAAACAATCTGGTGGCAATTTATTGAATCGAGAAGACGGTAAATTTATTTTGTGTTTCTTTTACATTATTTATATTATTATTTTATTTCAGGTAGAGGGTAGGGCGTTCAAATAAAAATTGCATTCTGTGGCCGCCGTTGCGCTGGAAAATGGAACGAGTAAGATTTCCAAATGAAATTGAAGCCACAGCAAATAGTGCATAGCTCCAAGGCTTGGAAACAAATATAGAAGCTATACGATGCCAGAAAGACTACAGAGAATCGAAGAGCGCTAACCAGGAAACAGCGTAAAAGGGCCAATTCGTTGAGCAAGGGCGTGCTCATAGCATGGTAAGTAGCATCTGCGACAATACATTACTTTTTACTAACTTCCAATGCGTACTTATTTCAGGAAATACAATGCAAACGGTGCCAACATAAAATTAAACTGCCAAGGCATAAGCAAGAATTTTTACCTGAAACTGTGACGCCTGCCCACAGCATCAAATAAGGATATCGTTCCAATGAAACCCAATATTAACGACGTATTTTGACGACGATGAACTCTTTGCGAACGCTCCGGGTTTTCATCACCGGGCTTGTAAATTGATGGCACGGAGCCTCGTTTCAACAATCTTCTTTTTGCATAACCTTAGAAATGTTTTAAACACTTTCATTAATATAAACACAATAAACGAAATAAATAAACATCCTACCCATTTCGAACTGCAGACTATTTTCAAAATCTTCACTTGCAAAGTGATGCATGCAAATATAGCAAGTTTTAAATTGGAAATCCTTGCTTTGCCGGCAGAACTGGATCCACTTTTTCCTAAGTTCTGGATCTGAAGGAAAAGTAAACAAACTGCACTCTGCCGCCGTTTTTCCACATTTCGCAACTGCGCACTTCATTTTACAACGTTTTTATTTTATAACTTTAACAAAAATATCACAAATCAATACGTTTTCCTCGCAAACCAATACGTTTCCCTCGCAAACCAATACGCTTCCCACCAAAAATTTTATATTATGACGTCAACACTCGAACAGCTGATTTGTAAACAAGAGTAACGGACCTGCGCAAAGCGCAATCTCTTTATTCTATCATTCTTGGTTCTTTCAGCTTTGGAACAGGCAGCCCTAAGACTCCATTATGGGCAATGATCCACAGCAAGGGAGTGAAGACGCAACCTTGGGAAACACCTCTGATAACGGTATGTTCTTTTATGCCTATAGCAGTGCTGCAAGAAAAAACTCTTTTACATATATGACTATTTAGTACGCCTATCAAATACCCTGGGTGTTGATCGATTTCAGCGCACTAATAATACACGGCCAACCTAGTTAGAGTTGAATGCGTTTTTAACATCTAGGGTAACTATCGCGCGCTAATCTTTTGAGCCGTTTTCCAGCTTTTACCTTCTTCGGCTATGTTAGTAACTCTGCGGATTGCACTGTTCGCCTACCTTTTCGTAAACTGTAGTTACTGGACACGATCCTCTGTGGTTGGGATGCGCTAGAATAACTTGCTTAAAGCATAAACTATACAAAGTGAGGAGGGTGTCGAGACGTGAATGCTATAACTGATTTATTGATGACTGCAGATTCATTGTTATTTTTTCATTCTTCCCCAGACTGACTCAGTTTTCATTCATCTCTTATATGGAAAACACAAAATACTTGTTTGGTATCGAACGACTCGGACAGAGCTGGTGGTATTGCTCAACTTTATTTTACCCTGCCGTATGAGTTTCAATACCATCCCAAATTCAGACATCGTGGCATATAGACATCTCATTTTTATGCCGTATAAAGCAGCTTTTAAATCGAAGGAGAAATAGTGTATATCTATTTCTCTATCGCAGGTATTTTCCATGATTTGGTGCATGGTGAATACCTGGTCTTTGGTGGATTTACCAGGTCTAAAGCCACATTGATAAGGCGCTATCAATTCGTTGACGAACGAGGGACAGTTTGCACGATAAGACCGCTTATACGACTTTTAAGAGGCAGATCCCGAATTTTTTTGGATGGGACAAATTGCAATTAGACCTGTCATCAGGCATTGGTTTGTTCTTTGTCCCTTGATTGCTCAAACACAACGAGATTGCGGAGTTGTCCTTGAGGCGGCCTGATGAAACCTTTTATGCAGAAGTCTATGTACCGGAACCTTGCGAAGCTGATCAGCTTCTGAGGTTTTCCGATAACGGTCCCAAAGATCTTGAGTGCGAAATGCTCATGAATGTCCTCCAAGCGTTCATAGAAGAGATATTTGGACGCTGGGGCGTTGACGCAATTGATCGAGATGTTGAAGAACCGTGCTTTGTATTTTCACCTTGTCCAGTCCATCACATGGATGGCTTTGATGTCAGTCTTATGCTGGTATTCATAAAAATTTAATTAAATTAAAAAATATACATAAAACTTAAAGGAAAATTTATTAAAAAATAATTAATTAATAAAATTCGCTGCCCGAGGTTTCGATAGGCACATTTACTCGCCGAATATTAACCCAAAAGTCTTCCGCAGCACATCCACCAAACGGGAGGAGGCACATTTTCCATTCCAGACGCATACTCTTAAGTAATAATCGTTTTAACATTTTCCTTGGTCGTCATCAAAAGAAGGAAGTGTCATCCTAGGCTTAATCTTACTTTTCATTTGAACTCAGTTTTAAGTAGAGGGTCCCAAACCGAGCACACAACCAAATCCTGAAGCTAATAAGTCGGAGTCTCCCAACCAAAACTCCCTCTCCTGGTTACGAGTCCCAAGGTTACACATACATACATACATATGATGGCTACCGCTTCTTGCATCTTAAGTAAAGTCGCACAACAGTAACTGGATACGTAGAAGCCCTACTTTATTCCCTATATAATTGTAACCTTGATAGGTCAACGCAGTGCAATTCTTCTGGCATTATCTATGTATATGAGTATATTCATGGCTTGTTATTAGATTCCTTATTTTTCCTACAGTTCAATGGCCGTATAAATGAATAGAGCTTCCGCTGAAGTTCATTGCCAGCAGTTCATTACCACCAAAATTAAATTAAATATTTATCTAAGAAAAAAAATCCAAGACTCAAATGCGCAAGAGATTTAGCTGTGGGAATCTATGCATGCATAAATGTGCACAGTGTTCTAAAACAATGATCACGTAGCATGCATTAAAAATGAAAAAAAAATTAAAAAAATAAAAATATTGGAAACTAGACAAGAGCTTCTAGAATAATAAAAACTTCAAAAAGCTTATGGTTTTCTTAACCGATAAAGCATCAATAGGCAACATATTGACTCATCCTATAAATAGGTTAGGCTAGGGAGGCGCTTACAAATGCTTCACAGTTACACTTGGAGGTAAAATTGCTCATTGTAAATGCCCGCTATAAGTGGCAGGACGATCCACATCCTTCAATGTCAGTATAGTGTCTGTTAAATCATTTACTATCCCGAGTGAAGCTATGGAGCTCCGATATTTTAACTTCCCCTTTATTCTCTCAAATGCTTGAGACGCCTTGTCTAGCGAGCTAGGCACTGACATAGTAAATGCTGAATCGATTTCACTTCTTCCTCATACCGGCAACTACTGGTATACGCCATTGCTTTAGTACTGGTGCTATGGCCTCCTTGGAAACTAACGTTTTCAATGCCAGTCAGGTGGCTGTTAACGAATACAGTGACGTACCCTGCAAGATACCTATTTTGCCGTATGAGACAAGCCGCCTTCTATAGGATAAAAGATCTCCTCCTGAAAGACACTATAGTTATCAGGCAGGCAACATTATTGCCTTATCCGCAGGTTCTTTACTAGAATCGACTCCTTAAGCCATCGATGTAGATGGAAATACTATCACTGCCGGCTTTCCAATTTTCCCTTGTTGACATAACATAATGGGAATCTTAAGGATGAAATCCCCGGATGACATGAGGTAATCAGTTTCGACAACTAAGTCGCCTTTGATTCCGTTGTGCCGTGCGTTTTGATTGGCTTAAAAACCCATTGTTCTTCTAATTACAGAACCTGTGCCTACAGATACATTGATTGTTCTACTCATTTCACTATGGAGTGGATACACGTCACTGTACACTGCTGGCTTCTATAGCTACCCAGGGCCATGTAAATTGCTGTCGTTTCGACGTTGTTGAATGCGCCCTCGACTTCGAAGAAACTAGGCTAGGGTATTTTCCCTACTCGTGTAAATAATTTATAATACAATTTTGTCAGCTATGTATTTGCGTAAGAAAAGTTGTCTTACTTTGTGCTCTGTTTTTGTTTTAAAGTTACTCCCGAATGCGAAACTCTTTCACAGATGAAGTCTGCTAATCACTGTACATAAATAGTATATATATTTTTACGTAGATATGTAAATCGTACACAGTCAACTCAAACAAAAACAAATTTAAGATCATAAAAACCTAATCAAATGAATATTTTCCAAGGCATTGTTGAGTTTCTCAAACATATTTATGATTAGATTTAGATGAAAGAAGACAATGCATGCTCATAGAAGACATTTCTAGAAAAAAATTTGCTGCATTTATCTTAGCTAAATATAAAATTTTCTGTGTTTAACCAGTTTACGCTGCCGCCAACAGAATGGCTGAACTGCATGTTATCATAGCAAATGGCAACTGCATACGCCATCATCATTTGTTACTGGCGGACAATACCACTTATAAAGCACAGTTAGCAGCAACTTCATATCATTTGTGCCCAAAGCAGAATACTAGACAGGTTCAAGGACATACCAACTTTCAGATTTCAGCGACAGTCAACAGCAACTAAACACTCAAACATGATGGAAAAACGTCGCATCTCGTTGGAAACTAATGTCATGGTTAGTCAGCCCATGCTAGGCGTCCGCCATTTACAGTGTTTCCTTATCTTCTGTGGACTATGCCTGATTTACGCTATGCGCGTCAATCTTTCAATGGCCATTGTGGCGATGATGGATAATGCCGCAGCGAATCCTAACTTTCCGGTGAGTAATAGTTATCAATTTCAATACAAACATTGTATTTTTGGCAAGCACTATTTTACTCATGCTCATTTTTTCTTTAGGAGTACGCTTGGTCGCAGCAAACGAAATCGCATATTCTCAGCAGCTTCTTTTGTGGTTATATATTGGCGCAGGTACCATCTGGTCACTGGGCGCGCCGCTTTGGTGGGCGTTTGCTTTTATGCATCAGCATGACCGTTAGCAGCACATTGGCGTTGCTTACACCGCTAAGCGTCAGTCGAGGCGGTTGGCCATTGCTGTGTGCCTTACGCTTCTTTCAGGGCTTATTTCAAGGCGCCACCTATCCCACGGTTGCAACTATAATGGCTAAATGGGCACCCATTGAAGAGCGCAGCGCAATGCTGACTTACTGCTGTTCGGGCCTAGAATTGGGCATATCGATTATGTTAGCCATCAGTGGTGTACTCTGCTCTTCCAGTTGGGGTTGGCCCAGCACCTTTTATATACCCGGCGGTTTGGGTCTCCTATGGGCTATTGTTTGGTTTGTATTTGGCGCGAGTACGCCGAATGATTGTAAATATATTTCAGCCGCTGAACGTACACTAATTAACACATCTTTGAGGCGGCATGCAAAAAGTGAAGAATGCAACACCGCACATGCGGTGCCGTGGAAGCATATCGTCACTTCAAGACCCTTTTTGGTGCTTGTACTTAGCCAGTGTGCGAGCTCTTGGTGCTTTTGGACGCTGCTCACGCAAATAC